ACACGTCCATTCGCACAGCAGACCTTTATTTCTAGTGTTTTGGAGCGGAGTAGCTCAATTATGCGGGAAGAAAGAAAAACAACTCTCTTTAAAAGCCTGAGATGTGTAAGAAAGTCATTCTCGTCTCCTGATGTGATACTGCAGCCGTTTCAAATGAGTTGCGCAATCAACAAAATGAGAGTTCCCTCTCCAAATGTCTTTCTAGCATATGTCTCCAAGCAAATAAATTAATTGAAAATAATAACAAACACATCAAATAGTTATTTAATTGAAACATCATGGGCGACATGTTGTATGGACTGATTCTTTTTAAGAAATAAAAATATTTTTACAAATTTTTTTTTTTTTAAAATAGTATTATAATTGATAAATATAAATCTTTATTATGGTTTAGACTAAACATTTTGACATTTTGATTTGGATCGATGCACAGGGTTCCTTTAATCATTACATTTATTATATTTATTATAGTCTTTATATTTCATATTTATATATCATCTGGAGCTGCTTTTACCATTCAAAGATTGATTTACATTGACATTTTTTGCATAATTAAGGCCAGCTATACATAATGGATCACATGCATAAAATCACATGCATGTAATATATCTGTGTGGGGTTTTTTTCCAGTACAAATCACTCTAATTCAGCATTCTGTAAACTACCAGCATGCACAGCCTGATTGACATGTATTGTGTTGCAGGAGATGCAGCTTGAACATGCCAGACAGGCTTTTATGCAAAGAGACAAGGCCAAGACAGGCACCATCACCGCTCTGGACTTCAGGGACATCATGGTGACCATCAGACCCCACATGCTCACACAATTTGTGGAGGAATGCTTAGTTGCAGTGAGTTTGTTTATTTTTATTTATGTTTTAGCTATTTCAGCCAGTGGTTGTATTGTATGACAGTTTTGTGATAGACTTTTGTTTCACGTAAACCACTGGGAGATATTTATTTGCTAGGTGTATATGTGTAAGCAGTCTGTTTTATACACACTCAGTGAAGTCTGTCATTTTCTCCACGGTTTGTGCCTCATAAACCTTGGGATTCTAGGAGATGTTTGTAAACACACAATTTTGAGGCCATTAGAAATAAATTAAAGACAATACGCTCGTCAGACCCAGTCTATACACTCAATCCTCTAATTTAGTTGCCTTGCAAAACAAGACAGGAGGTGTAAACATTTTATCCCAACTACAAAAAGGTTTATACTTTTTGTGGGCAGGTTTATGCAGGGATTTTACAAATGACATCCTGGTTAAGGAAACTTCAGAGCAGGTATGATTTTTGTGGCTTCAGGTAGACACCACCATTTCTGCAAAGCACACAGCGCCATCTAGTGAGAGACAATCTGCTCTCGCTTTTCTTTCCCAGCCCCTCTTAAGCCTGAAGAAAACTATACAAGCACTATTTCAGCCAAACTACACTTTTGTCTTGTCTCTAAAAAAAATCATCAAATACATTCTAAAAATGTTACATTTCATAAATACTTAATGTTGCAGTTTAAATGAAATTGGTCTCTGGCTAGTTTTCTTTTTCTTTTGCTATCAGAGTGGCAAAGGGAGTTTTTACACCAAGCATTCTGTCAGATGATATTTAAAGATTTACCTCATGTTAGTTTTCCACTTTATATGGCCCTCTTCTCATAAAACAGCTTAATTAAAAATGGCCCTCAAGCTTCAATCCCTCTGAAATTACCAGTGTGCCTCTCTGTGAAACACATGTATTTATTTAGCACTCTGTGGGGTGGAAGTGCTAAAGATGTCGCCGCACTGTAGCTTGATTAATGTTTGGCACTCCATAGAATTCTCAGCTATTTATCACCTCTGTCCCTCATAAAAGGATGTCTTCGTTCAAATGTCTGCCAATTTTGCAGGCGGCCGGTGGAAGTACGTCACATCAGGTCAGCTTTTCCTACTTCAATGGCTTCAACTCTCTGCTAAACAACATGGAGCTCATTAGGAAGATCTACACCACCCTGGCAGGCAACCGCAAAGATGTGGAAGTTACTAAAGGTTAGTAGGTTTTTTTTTTAAGCTTGTTTTGTTTTGACTTTGTCCTGTCTCCCCTGATTAGGCTGACTTTGTGCCCCAAAAACACAAAAAAATACCCACACTGCATTGCTGGAGATATCAGAGTTAGCTTTTCATGTGTATGTGTTTGTTGGGGCAATATAATTATTTGTATTATATAATATGTGTAATTTAGTACACAGATACTGTGTGTGTATATATATATATATATATATATATATATATAAAATCATAGTATTTAGACATTGTATTTAAATTTTTTGTTACTCGTCAAATTCTTATTCATTTTTTGAACAATTATATGTCTTACATATGTTGTTGTGCACATATGTAATGTGTGTAATTTAATATAAATAAATACGTAATTGTACTATTTAAATAGTACAGTACATTTTACTCGCATTCTTTCAATTTTTTTAACAATTTTTTTTGTTGCTCTATTTTTTTACAATTTTACGTATTTCTTACATATGTTGTTGTGGACTTTTAAATATATATTTATAAAATATGTGTTAAATAATACATCTTGCTCTAAACCATTTAATTTTCGAAAAAAAAAAAGTTTACAATTTTTCACAATTCTTACATATGTTGTTATGCACTTAAAATTTTTTTTTTTTTAAATAGATTGCTGATTTTTTTCTCACTCAAACTCTTCTAATTATTATAGTTTTAATTTTAATTATTTATATAAATATTTAACAACTTGCATAATACAAGTGTAATATTACTGTTGTGATAAGTCACGTTGAGCTCATTAAAGGATGATAAATAACTTTAAAAAACCTGTCAATAGCCCATCAAGGAGGGCTTTTAAAACAAAGCCCCAAAACCTTAAAAAAAACCTTGGTCTGTGTCTCCTTGGCCAACTGGTGACCTGTGAAACAGCCCTCATAGTCTGGCTGCAATGGAGCTCTGCGTCTTGGACACACACTCTTGCTGTACACACCCAGTCTGCGATGCTATCAGCCCTGTGGAGACCGGGGCCAGGGGTGGGGAGGCTACATTTAACGCTGCTGTTCCCACAGAGGCTGTAGGCCGCCATCGGGCTCCGCTGGGACCCGTGCGTGCGAATTTCCATGTCTACTTCTCTTGTTGACCCACAGCTGATTGGTTCCGTATGTTTTGAGCGGTACGCCGAAGCATAGTTTCGTCATTGCAACAGCCATCGTTTGCCACCTGGGGAAAATAGGGAACACATCACCCCGCACAAAGGCCGCAGATAGAAAAAAGAGCTTGCAAATGTATAAAAACATTTAATGTGGATCATCTTACTGCTTTTCTGCCCATTCTAAAGCAGAAATTCATCTCACTTATTTCATTGCTTTCGATCACAACCGCATGATTTCAGAGTTACTTTTCCGCTCTGATACTTGAAAGTCCATTTAAAAGTTTTGTAGAACCAAATATGATTTTTGGCAGGCCGAATGCTCTTGGCGGCATGTTCCTCACACTTTATCAGTAGCTGGTGTTTGTTTTTGGAGGGAGCTGAAGAGACAGATGCCCTGCGTGTTCTTTGATTGGAGCGTTCTTCACACTTCACAGCGTGTTTAAGGCCGGGGTAAGCTGAGCTGGCCTTGATTCAATAGGGCTCTGTGTAAGAACACTTGCTGCCTTTTTCAGGCTAGTCACTCTATACCAGTGCAGTGGGAATCCCACTGTTAACCGGCCTGTGTTCATTCTGCTCATTACCACTCTGCACTTAACCTACACAACCAACTGATATCCAATACAAGCCCAGACTCAACGATTTGCTAAATATTTGAATTAATTATTTACTACATGATCAGGTAGGGATGTGTTCATGTAAAACACATAGTTCATTAATAGAACAACGAGCAATACAGTGACACTGAAATGTATTTGGACAGCTTAAACATTGTAATACTCTATGCACAAAACTTCAGCTTCAAACTTTTAATGAAAGATGGTGCAAGGTGTTGTACATATAAGGTTGTTTTAAATGAAAGCGATTAACTGAATTCCTCCATGAAGTCTCCTTTTACAAGGCTTTTAGTGAAGGGCAAATGGCCACTTTGAGGAAGTAATTTTACTGTTTATAATCATGTGATTCTGAGCGGCATTCATGCATTTTGAGGTAATTTGAGATCTTACCTCAACTGTTATTGTGCACCTAAGGATTATTTGTGGAAAATAATATTCACATATTTTTATTTTATTTAGTTTTAACAAACACTACATAAATTGAAATTAAATTGAGTTCAAGACACAAACAGGCAATATTTGATGTGAAAGAATAATTGTAATAGCTATAAATGAGAATTTTGCCCATTGTTTTCAATGTAATTTTAGAATTCAAAATAAAGTGGCAGGGACATATAGGCTGTACATGACCATACTGTCCTGCACTCTTCAGAGTGTTTACTTCAAGTGCTCTGCCCTTCTGAGTAAGTGAGAGACAGTGATGCTCACTTTCAAATGTAATTCACCCATTGACTTAATACAGAACATCTGCTGAAAATGACCTTGCTACCAGCTGGCCAAAAATAATTGCAAAAATGAGCAAATGTTTTGCATCATTTGTTTGCAGATGCCACTTGATTTAATATTTTATTTAGTTTTTTAGTCATATATTTTAAAGCATGGCTTAAGTGGCCAAATATGCTACATTTGAAAAGTTTGGGATCAGTAAGGTTTTTTTTTTTTTTTTGTTTGCTTTTTATTTATTTTTTATTTTTAAGAAATTAATACTTTTATTCAACAAGAATGCATTAAATTGATTAAAAGTGACAGTAAAGACTTCCACATTACTATAAAAATTTATATTTTAAATAAACGCTGTTCTTTTGAACTTTCCATTCATTAAAGAATATTGAAAGAATGTTTCACAGTTTCCATGAAAATATTAAGCTGTACAACTGTTTTCAACTGATAATAAAAAGAAATATTTTTTGAGCATCAAATCAGCATATTAAAATGACTTCTAAATCATGTGACTCTGAGCTTTGCCATCATAGGAATAAATTACACTTTAAAATATATTAAAATGGAAAGCTTATTTTAGTAAGCATGAATGACAAAAATGTTTTCGAAAAAACTTGTTTAAAACTAATTTAATAATAAGCCACTCTATCTTTTGAAAATTGTATTTGATTAGTATAAATCAAATTTTAGCAGTAATGAATCATAAAGAATCATTAAATGATTCTGTATTTTCTGCACTCTCTTTCCCTGTTTTGCAGAGGAGTTCATCATTGCCGCCCAAAGGTTTGGCCAGGTGACCCCTATGGAAGTGGACATCCTGTTCCAGCTGGCTGACCTGTCTGAGCCGAGAGGGTGAGTCACCATGGCGACAGGGCATTGCTGAATCATCATCTGAGATCCTCTGCCCATCAAGAGGAGGGTTCGAGGCTCAGCCATAACATACTTCAGCTCAGCCTGTGTTTCAGAGTCCTCTAGCCACTCTCGCCGTCTAAAAACAGCATTGTTTGGACTCTTCTGTAATTATATGAGAAAAGTTTTCTGGACTCGCTATTCTGAGTCTTGTTCTGGCAATTGCATAGTCGATGATACATGACTCTTCCTATTATTGTGCAGCGGGAGGTTTTGAACACGGTCCAGCTTGTTCTAACTTTCCTGCAGCATGTAGCGGCACACATGTTTCCCCACTACTGTAACTGCTGCAAAGTTCTTACCAGTACAGTAATGAGCTTGGAAGTATATTTACAAAATATCTGCTCTGAGCCATAGAGCGGTGTAATCATGGTGAGTTAAACCCCTCTTTCCAAAACCAAAGATATCACATGAACATTTTTGAAGAGTCAGATATTATGACCTATGAACTGACTCATGACACTACTGGGTAGGTCTCAAATGGAGCAAATGGTGATCAGGAGTTGGTTTTTGGACATTATTATTTCTTTACAATGTGATACTGTAATTACCCACCTCACTTTGAGTCAAGATTTTGGAGGTTGTTATTTGTGTTACTTGTATACCACGTTTCCTCAAACATCTTTGAGATGTTGTGCTCTGAAAAGGCAGAAAAAAGGAATCTGTTTAACTGTTTAATTATGTCTGCGCATGTTTTTGCTTTTTACAGACGTGTTGGTTTATTTGACATTGAGATGATTGCACCTCTGGAGGAGGGAGCTCTTCCTTACAATCTTGCTGAGATTCAAAGACAGGTAACTCTCAGAACCTCAGTGTATAAACTTGTCTTAAAAGATTATAGTGATCGGAATAAACTGGGCCTTGGTCCACTAACTCTTGGGACACTATGACTCAGTTATGAGGTTGTGCATTAAAACCATTATGCCATTGTGCTACTTCATTGTAGTTGGTAAAAAGTGCAGTGCCATTTTATAATATTCACTTTTCCTGCATTTTTAAAAGACAAACAGATAATACATGCATAATGACATTCAGCCATGAACCAAATGCAATAAATCAAAGCCACAAAATGCACTATAAAAATTATATGTTGAACATACACTGTCATCCAAAAGGGGGGGGGGGGGGG